AGGAAGGAAGGAAGGAAGGAAGGAAGGAAGGAAGGAAGGAAGGAAGGAAGGAATAAAGGAAGGAAGTGAGGGAGAGAGGAAGATGTAATAGAATAATTAGTGAAGCAGTGTGAAACCTCTTGCCCATTAAGAATATTAAGGTGACAGTGGCTTGTGGGATTTAATCAGAAGGGAAAGAGGTCAGTGTCTGGGAGACCCTATAAAGGAGCTGCTCCTGCCAGGGTCCCCAGACAATGTTTGCCCAGATTCCAGAACAGAAAATCACTCTACATTCATCTTGGGGTTGGGTCTATGTAGATGAGTGTGGGTATGGGTAAGGGCACAAATCTGTACTGTACTGAACTGAATAGGAAGCTGCTTCTGAATTTCCCTAACACTTAATAATCTCATTTTCATAGTGGTATTGATAAGAGCCAGCTCAAAAACCTGAGATAAATTGCCCTGGGCATGGCAGGCTCCCAGACAAGCTGGGACATAACGCTTGATACACCAGGCTTTGCAGGACATCATTGACCCTCACTCAGTGGGGCTGGGTGAAAATTATGTTGTTGCCCCACACACATAAGAAAAGAAATTATCTGTTTACCTCTGCAGTTCCCGTGCCCCGTAGTTTAAACAGGGATGCTTCCTAGCTGTTTGCCATTGAGGCAGAAAGAGAGCCGACCAGGGCCTGGGGAAGGGGGAAGATGGAATCAGAATTCACAGTTCTCTGCACAGTGAAGTGACCACATAACTTATCCTGGGACTCCGTGAACAGGACACAGATCAGGAGATTAATCCATTCTAAGGTCAGCTGGAAGATTAACCTCAAAACAGAAGGAAGCGCTTTAGGAGAAGCTCCATATTTTAACAGAGTTTCACCAGGAGCATGGAGATGTCTCTGGAGAGGTTTCTGTTCACTCAGTGGGATGTTCAGACTAAGAATGAAAGCAAGAATGTGCTAATGTAGAATTCGCTCACTTACTGTCCACCTGGATCTTTTTAAGGTCAGTGATATTTTACTCAGATTTCCTGGCTACTTATTAAAGCTGAGTAGGAATTAACCATTCATTCTAGGTTGATAATGCACAAGGTGCGGGATAAAGTCTGTTCTGTTTGTAGGGAGAGAACAAAGGGAGGTATTTGGGGGGAAATAGTGTTTTTCCCATGCGGCTACACATTCTTATTTTTCTGGCAGCCACAGCATACCAAATGCCCACTGAAAGTACAATGGAGATACAAAAAACTTCCCAGGAAAGGGAGGACGCAGCCCCTGCCCTCAGGAACAGAAGAGCGTGCCCGAGCAGTGGCGCATCTAAAACGTGTGTCACACATATAAAAACGTGGCACAAAGAAAGAGCAGAAGGAATCTGGCTGAGGCTAATGATCAGCCATGAAGGATTCCACTTGGTATGGGTTTCTTTGCATTTCTTGACTCCCATGTTTGTCTGGATAAACTTAATTTTTGTCTTGACACAACTAGACGGCTTGTTAGTGCATGATAATTCCTTTGAATCTGGGGGTTTTTGTAGCAAGGATGAAGCATGGGCCAGTATTTTCACAGACTGCTACAAAACTCTGAATCTTGGTGCTTTGCCTTCAAGACTCCCCCGATTAAGCCTGAATGCGTCGTGTTTGATCCTAGTTGTTTATATGCTCTCTCCTCTGGTTTACTTTGAGTTCCTGGAGAGCTGTTTTTTGAGGGGGATCGGGGGGCTTGCCTTTTTTTGTGCCCCCTTCCTTAGCACAGTACATGGAGAAGTCTACAATGGCGTCATGCATACCTTTGGCTCCATCCTGTTAGAAAACTGGGAACTTTGAAGTGAATCCCTGCCAGGGATTCAGTTATTCACCATGCTAATAGACCTGGCCAAGGAACAGCATTGAAATAGTGAAACAATTAATTGGTACAAAAAGGTATAATTTTATCACCCTTTCTCCTGGAGTAGTTTGAGAAATTAACTTCTCCAAGATTCATGACATTGAGAAAGAAGTGGGCAAGGACTCTGTGAAAATAGAATTTGGCTTTTATAGCACAGGTATCCTGGGAAATCTGGGGCCTGCGGGTGGCTCAGTGAATACAGCACCAGGCCTGGAGTCAGAAAGACATGAGTTCAAATCCGGCCTCAGATACTCACTAGCTGTGTGACCCTGGGCAAGTCACTTAAGCTCTATTTGCCTTGATCTACTGGAAAAGGAAATGGCAAACCACTCCAGTATCTTTGCCAAGAAAACCTCATGTTCAGCCTTGGCATGCTATGGTCCATGGGGTCACAAAAAGTCAGACACGACTGAACAACAACAATCCTAAGAAATGTAGTCCTTTCCCTGCCTCGGCTGTGACTGCGGCGTCAGATAATAAATGGCGGTCCTTTATCATAAGACTATGAACAGGCTCTCTACTTTGTAAACTTGCCAGTGGTTCTCTGTGAGAAATGCCAATGCGTCAGCTTTCCCTTAGCCAGGGCCAGCTCTCAGCTCTTGGCCTTGGCTGATGACCCACATGCTCCTTCGCTAATTGCCTCCCACCCCAACGCAGAAGTGTGAATGATGGCGCTGCTGGCGCAGCCGTGCCAACGTGGGCTCAGGCGCTCCACCATGCTTCCATAAAGAAGGAGTAGCCACACTCCAAACAGAACTAGGGTTCTAGCTCCCTCTTCCTCCCTAGCAGAATCCTTATCCTTCCCACTCTTTGCAACAGTGCAGAAGGTTCTAAAATCCCCAGCAGTTTCCTCAGGCAGAAGAGAGAGACTAAGCGAGATGTCTTAGACAAAGAGAATGTGAGATGTCAGGCAGCGGCAGACTGGGGGTGGTGAGTGGGGGGCAGCCCTCTGCCATTTTGGCTAACGCATTTCCTCCTTTGGTTGAGATGCTAATCAGTTGGCTTAATGGTGGCATCTAGATAACTATTGTGGCCAAATATGATATATACATAAAATGTCCAAACACATCCAAAATGGAACACTCTTTCCCCCTACCCCTTACCCCATTCCTACCTTCCCTCTTACTATAGAGGGCACCCCCATCCTCCCAGTCCCTTGAGCTCCCAACCTATGAGTCATCCTGGACTCCTCCGTCTCTCTCACCCCCCATGTCCAACTTGGTGCCAAGGCCTATTCATTTGATCTTTTCACCATCTCTCCTATAAGCCCCTTTCTCTCCTCTGATCCTGCCCCCACCATGATGCAGACCCTTATCACCTCACATCTGGCCTCCTGCAGTAGCTGCTGTGGGGCCTGCCTGCCTTAAGTCTCTCCCCACTCCAGTCCATCCTCCATTCAGCCACTAAAGTGATTCTCCTAAAGCACAGGTCTGACCACATCAACCTTTCTACTCAATAAACTAGTGGCTGGCTGTGGCCTCCAGGAGCAAACAGAAGATGCTCTATTTGGCCTTCAAAGGCCTTCACAACCTGACCCCTCTACCTTCCCAGTCTTCTTGCACCTCATTGCCCTCCACACACTCTGATCCAGTGATCCTGGCCTCCTGGCTCCTCCTAGAACAAGACCTTCTATCTCTTGACTCCAGCACTCTGGTTGTCCCCCATCCCTGGAATGCCCTCCCTCCTCATCTCCTGGCTTCCCTGCCTTCCTTTTAGACCTTCCTGAGATCCCATCAGGAAGCCTTCCCAACCCCTCTTAATCCCAGCACCTGCCTTCTTTAATCATTTCCTCTTTATCCTGTAGAGAGCTTGCTTGCCATATATTTGTTTGCATTCATTCTCCTCCATTAGATCATAAGCTCTTTGAGGTCAGGCACTGTCTTTTATCTCTTTTCATATCCCCAGCACTTAACCCAGTGCCTGGCATATAGTAGGTGCTTAATAAATGTTTAGCGAATGATTAATAAGAGTGAAGTAACTCGAGGGAACAGGAAGAGGCCAGAGTGAGCGACATCAGTTTGCAAAGCTTCCTTAAAGAATTTTCTTCCAGAAAATTTTAAAGAAAAGGAGAGGAAAGGCATGAAAAGCCAGGAAGAAGGCAATTGATGTGAGGGGCTGGCCACTCATACATGTTAGATTTATAGCCTTTGGAGAAGCAGGAGAGAAGTCTTTGCAGAAGACAGCTTTCTTGGGGCAGCTAGGTGGCACAGTGGATAGATACCTGGAATCAAGAGGACCTGAATTCAAATCCAGCCTCAGACACATAACACTAGCTGTGTGACCCTGGGTAAGTCACTTAACCCCATTGCCTAGCCAAAAAAAAAAAAAAAAGAAAAGAAGAAGAAGAAGAAGAAGAAGAAGAAGAAGAAGAAGAAGAAGAAGAAGAAGAAGAAGAAGAAGAAGAAGAAAGAAGAACAAGAAGAAGAAGAAGAAGAAGAAGAAGAAGAAGACAGCTTTCTTGTTCAGGGCTGGTAGTGGCAGATGGGACCAGCCATGTGGGGGTGATTCAAGGGGTACGGGGAGCCCCTCATGTGGGAATCACCTCCATCCATGCAATTGGCGGCTCAAGTGGCAGCTTCTGCTGGGCGATTCAGAGGCTATGTGACCTGCCCTGTTCCTCTCAGAGGCAGAAGCTGAGCCAGCCTTCCCGACTCCAGCACCAACCCTCCATCTGACCTGCCCTGCTGTCCATGACCAACACCACAGACTCCATTTGCCATGAATAGGATCATATGAGGGACTTTTATTTTCCATGAAGGACATCTGTTGGAAACCAAGAGCTTTCCATGAGACCACCCTGATGGTGAGAGCCGAGTTCTAAACTGTCTCCTTACAGAGCCACAGCTAAGAACAGAACACACTTGATGCCTCATTTGAGAAAGCTGGTGTGAGGCATTTTTTCACATCCGTGTTTTCCTAGTCAATGAAACAATGATTTGTTTTTTTTTCTTTTTTAAGCTTTTGAACCATGACAGTATGAGTCATTCTTTGGCTCTCTAGCCTAATCAGAAACAAGCAGCCTGGAGGACGCAGGGACAACAAAGGGACTCCATCCCTTGGTCAGAGGTTGGCGGACCCTGCAGTTCAAATGCCAGACTCCACTTCCTTTCCCAGCAGAAAGCCCCACTATAGTCCTGACTTCTCCGTGCTCACCCCCCTCACCTCCTGTCTAAACTAGCCTCCCCGGGATGTGTGTGTAACTGAGAGGTCAATTGTGAGGTGCTCCAAAGACTCCACCAAATTCTCCAGGCAGCAAAGCCCTCCCGTCCATGACCTTTGGATCAAAAGGTGCTTTGTAGACATCTTCTGATTTATTAATCAAAAGATTAAGGAAAATCAATACTTAACACATGAAAAATATTTTCCTAGTCCTACACAGGGAAGGTTTTACATTAAGGCTCAAAAGGAGATCTAGGGAAGGCTGATTGCCATGACCAGATCATCTGGCACGGAGGGCCCTCCATACCCATGAACGGTCCTGCCAGGGAAGGGTCCACTCTGGCAGGGGCATCTCTATAGGAATGGGCCTAGACATAAACAGTGCCTTCTGACCACTAACCTTCAGAAATGTGAGGAGGCCCTTCCCAGAGATAGCGGGTCATCTGCTAATTGATTATGGGAGCTACTGCGGGGGGGAGCTAATTACGGGAGTTACCATAACTCCCAAAGAATGCCCACTACCTTCATTGATAGAGTAGGGAGTGGGGCGGGGGAGGGGAGTCCTCAGAAGTGAAATCACAGCTGGAAACCAAGTACGAAGGTGGGATTTTACCTGCATAGTCTTGACCTCTTGAGAGATGTCACCGGACTTGTCAGGAGGCCTGGGTTTGAATCAGACCAATAAAATTCCTAGCTATGCAAACACGGGCAAGTCACTTCTCCCCGGGCCTCAGCTTCCCCATCTGTAAAATGGAAGGGGAGGCAGATGGCCTCCGAGGTCTTTCCAGCTGCAGATATAGGAGCCTAGGGCGTTTTCTGGCTCCTGATGAGCCCTAATCTTAGGGGAGATATTTTTGTTTCTTTGTGATGTTGTCATTGTTGCCTTTAAGGCAACTCGGACTTCCTTTTCAGTGTGTAATTCTCATAAAGTCTTCTTTCTTTCCGCTCCCCTTCCTTTAAGTGAGAGTGGAAAGCAGCACAAGCCGCCATTGTGGCCTTCCCCGGTCTTGGGCATGTTTTAGTCCCGTCTTCCTCTGTGTCCTGAAAGAACTAACGCACACTGAAACAAGGAGACGTATTTGTGATCATTTCTTGGGATCTTGCATAGAGAAATCCCTTTGTGACCGGATAACAGCGACGGGCCGTGACGATCGGCTCAGATCGGGGTGGGGGGAGCAGAGACTGCCCAGGAAGGGGATGAAGGATGAGCTCGTCTTCCTCAGGGACACCCCCCTGCCCATGAGAAAGCTTTGCTGTGGATATAACTTTCACAGCGTTTCTACCTCTGCCAAACTAATCTGGATTGTGGTAATCAATGAGGCGTCACACCTGAGAGGCCAGCAGCTCATCTAAGGAATCCTCAGCTCTCTTTTGATGTGTTAGCCAAACGATTCAAAACAAAACCGCAAACATGTTTAGACTCTCGAGCAAATGCTTCCCAACAAGGCCAGATCACCGAGGAGGGGCCTGACTGCGACTCGGACATAGACAGACGCACAAGGCAGGCTGGGGCCTCTCCTGGGAATGACCACACAGGGTGGCTGGATAATCCCAAACCAGCCGAAGCCGGCCCTCAGATGCCCAGAAGGAGTCCCCGCATCACCTTGCTGGGGACCCCCGTCGGGCTCTGAGGACCTAAGCCATTCCCAGTGTTTCCAGCGCTCGCCTGAAGGATAACAGTATGCATAGGTTTGTAGAGCACTCCCTGTGTGTCCCGTCCACCTTGGAGTATCACAACCACGCTGTGACGTAGGGAGTATGCTGGACAGAGGGCCCATTCAGCTTCATCACAGATACTGTTCTACCCATTTTTAAAATTTATTATTATTTTAACCATTGAAGACATTGGGTCTCAGGGAGATTGAGTTGAGTGACTTGCCTAGGGTCACATACTGAGCACTGAGCAGATGTGAGATTCAAATCCAGCCCTTCCTCCATCTGACAAACTTTTAAACTCGGAGTCCTAATTAGGACGCCGCTGGAAATGAATGCATCCGGTCTTGGCCAGATGAGAAGGCAAGGCCCCGACTCACCCTGTTTACAAAATCAGAGTCAGAAAAAGGCATCCTGTTCAACAGGTAAAGATGGCAAGGGCACGAGGGCCCGCTCTTACCTTGTTGGTTGGTTTAATTCAAAAGTAGGAGGTGCATTTGAAGAGCATTCATTAAGCATTTTCATAACTTCAGCCAATCAATCAAATGTATTAAGCACCTACTATGTGCCATGTACAATACTAGGCACCAGGGGTGGGGGTGGGGGCACAAGCCCCCACATGAGACAATCCCTACTCACAAAGATCTATTTTCTGATGGGGAGACAACTACGAGGGCATAAATAAATGAATGGAAACCATAAAGGGAATAAGTAACACAAATAGTAGTATGAAAAAATGTCGGTAGTTTGGGGGAGGGGCACTCGCAGTTGGGGGATGAGGGAAGGCTCCATGAAGAAGATGGGGGTCAAACTTCACCCTCTGGGAAGACATGGCTTGGATGAGGAGGAAGGAGGAGGAATGAGGAGGGAGCGCATTCCAGGCACCGAGCTGGTCAGTGCAAAGCC